GATTTGCATCTCTTGAACCCCTCGATCAGAAGGTCATCATTGATCATTAGCGAACCCTTATAGGCCAAGAAAAATTTGAAGGAATTAATCCCTATAGAATAACGACGAAAACTAGTTAGACTTTATATAATCAAATGCAGTAAACCCAGTATACAGCAAGAAAAGAGAAAAAAAATGAGATAGACCTTTGTCCTTGACCATAACTTCCATTTCCCTTGAAACGGTTTCGTCCCATTTAGTTATTGCCATGTGGAAACCATAATCTGTGATCAATCTTTCTGCCTTTTTCACATAAGACTCCAGGCCTGTGGATAAACTCCCATTCACTGGAATAAAAAAATCGATATGCATTGTGGTCCCACCAGCCAATGCAGCAGCCTGCCCGCTGAAAAAATCGTCAATAGTTTTGGTGCGCATGAACTCCATGGCCAAGTGTGTATGTGGATCAATACCTCCTGTCATCATACGCGAGGCAAACATTAGAAGAATTTTAATAGGATTGCAGAAGAGAACCTCAGAGTCCTTCAAATTTAATCATTAGGAAGATTCATATTTAGTACTGGAATTATCTTTCTCATAAATTATCATCTTCTAATGACATAAAAAGCGTAAAAAATACCATATTCACTTAGAAAATGTAAAAACAAATACATTTAGAAGTGTTATAGACCATAAGAATCGTCTACTAATGAGTACTCCCTATGTTCGACAAAGATTAGTTGCATAACAATTTCGGAAGTCCCATAAGATAGGCTGTTGATACATTTGGTGTGGACATTGTTTTTTATTTCCATGTATTCCCCAACTCAATTATCCCAGGACCATACTAGGATGTTTAACTAGATTAGCATTCACGGAAAACCGAATTGACATGGATAAACAATTTAGTGTAATATATGAACTGTATTAAACAAAATCATCAGTTAAAATGTAAANAAAAAAAAAAAGAGAGAGAGAAAGAAAAGCATAATTGTTGCATATGGCGTTGAATTTAGTGGCGGAAGCCGCTCTCTATTTTAGACATGCTAAGCATAAACAAAATTTATTTCTAAGAGCAGAAGGTAAGTTGCTCCATACAGATATACTTATAAATAACATATGGATGATAATATGCTCTAGATTATGAAACTGCCACTCGCCAACAAGTAATTTCATATTCAGAACTGAATACGGAAATATACCTGGCATGTCATACTTTCCAGTGGCGTCAATAATTTTAACATCATCTCCAACCTACACATCCACACATCAAAAGATATATATAAAAAATTCAGGCTCAATATTTATCATCGTTTCATTTGATTGACAAGTCTCTACACCCCAGTGCACATGGTCCATGAGCAGTGTGCACAGTGATTAGAAACAACACTACCAAGGATGATGAATGTAAAAGCATTCAACTAAAACAAGATAACAATCACATTGTCAAATGTATAGTCCGAGCAACTTTTCGAATAAAGGAAACTTTCAGAAAAAATGTTTAGTCAGTCTTCCTCATGTTTCACGCTAAAGCAATAATCTCGTTCACACATGTCCTCTGCATCTTGTTTGATACGAGATTTCAACTTACGCTGCCAACCAAAGATGGAATCAGGAAGTATATGTCAAAGAGTGAATGCTTGTGTGTGTTGTGTGAAAATTTTAATTCGCCGTTTCAACTTCTATTCCGACCTTCTTCAATTTCTGCACATGCAGTCATCCAGCTCACTAGTGAGAAGGATGTAGTGAAGAAAATTTTTGAAACTACAAATCATATCATCCAACAACCGTAATGCACCAATTTACCACAATATTGTTCTGTACTGCAACGATTATTCCATCTTCTATGTACACATCATCAATTTCTTGATGATGGGCATTCACAACAGTACCTCCCTTTATCAAAATCTTTGAAAGGTAAGCTGGACCAGCTCCACATACCGACTCTCCATATGCAATCCCAGCATCACAAAACTACACACTGAAAAGTAACACTATCAAAACCAAATTGGTAGCCATAAGTATCCATTTCAATTCATGAATAAGGGAAAACGTCGTTTTATTCTCCAGAACCCTTTTCAAATGCAAGCAGTCAACGGTATGATTGTATGCCTCAATTGAACATCTTCAGCACCATATAATGTCGCAAGATAATAAACAGATAACACGAAACCCTTTCAGAAATTGCGTATGTAAAAGTAACGTAAGACATTAAAAATCAAACCTGGTTGATTCACTTCCATAGACATTCAAGAATCCATCCACAACAGAGAAGATAATAAACCTGGTTGCACTCGGAGAGCGGCGAGAACAGTGAAAGGAAAATAATGGTGAGATATAAATAACAATTCCTGGGAGCAAAACAGAAATCCATCTTTTCGGCTCGTTAGATAGTTTTTAGGTGTTATCGAGAGAGATGGAATGGGCTGAGAGATTTGAGTCCGAGGGGAATCTAAAAATTGTTCACTATTTAATTGCTAAATATAATCTCGACCTCAATTTATTTATTGTAAATTTAGATGCAAAGTGATTAATTTTAGTGATTTGTGGATCAATTTTGTGTTTAAGTCTTCCATTGAGACGAGTCTTTATGTCATCCACGTAGCAAGTTGACAATTACATATTTAATGTATATCAACGAACAAGGCCGAAAATTCCACGTCAATGTAAACTACTGGTGATGAGTCTCTTCCTAGATCTGGAGTGAACCGGTAAATATAAGCTCCGATCTGTTCGAACTGCCGTCAAATCGACCAGTTTTTTGAAGGTCCAACCGGTTCTATGTTCGACTTGCAATAAGTAAATTGAGGTCAAGATTATATTGCAATTATCTAAAGATTGAGATAAAATTGTCAAACGCAAAAAGGTTAAAGTTTATTTAGCAATTAACCCTTATTAAAATGGAATCTTCAGTTCAATATCCATTAGATTTAGATATATATAGGATTCGGGTTGAAATCAGAGTGGTGCTCAATAAAAGAAATAAGACTACATTTCGGCCCTTAAAATGGATATAATGTCTAAAAAAAAGTCAATATTATACTTTCATTAAGGTAATGTGGTATTTTTACACATCCAAACAGTGGGACTTACGTCACCGCACAACTACTTACACATGGGGCCAGAGGCGGACGCAACCCTTAAAGACAAGGGGGCACAAACTACGGTCAACCGTCAAGGGTCAACGGTCAATGTCAATGTCAAATTGTCACCGGTCAAATCAATATTCAACCAATTTAAAGAAAAGATGAAATTTTAACCAGGCACCTTGTTTTTTATTTAATAGCTAGGATTGAGTCTCACATTCTCATTTTAAGAACATAGACACATTTGATCCCATCCATA